GCCGTTTTCACCAGAAAGTATGCCTTTGGCTGCAAACGGATCTGGCCTTGGAAGCCTCCGGTATTGCTATTGTTCCTGCCGACTGCTGGCTGGAGTGGCTGCGTATGCGCATGCGTGTACCTTAGCAGAGTTATACGGTGCAAAGAAGCGAGAGTTTGTTTTGCTTCGGTCGTGTGCTTTCTCCGGTGGTATATGGCTTTGCGGGGTGTTGCGAATCTGCAATATGGATTTGCACTGAAGCGTTTGACGATGCAAAACGACTTTCTTCAACTGGTAAGGCAGCATGTTTGCAGCGCTGTACATGATAGGAAGCAGCGCCTATGTATTCATTGCTGCCAGACGGCTAGCAGTAACAATTTTGTGAAATGCTATGCATGGGAGGAGTTGTTTTACATGGAATGCGAATAGTGGAGAGCGACGGCGTGACCAACACGGACTGTTCGGACTGTTCGCATGGGGCCTCGCGCGGAAAGGTGCAGTGCCAGTAGCTCATTCTGTATCTATTGGGTAGCACAAAAGAGACGGTGGACCCCGCTGTGCAGGCGAGTGGCAACTATTTCGGAAGATTTGCCGAGCTGTCCTGTTTCGACTTGATTCGCCGAGCAGTCCTGTTTGGGTATCGGTGCAATTTTAGAATGTGTAGCATATTCTTGTTTGCGTTCGGCATACCACGGCAAGAAGGACACCGCACTCCAACTTACGAGGCAGTCTCACGTGGCAGGCGCTAAGTGTGCACGCATGTGATGTTTCCGCACGTCTTGAATTTGTTCGACTCCCTTTGGCTTTCCAACAAGAATCCACTGGGCAGGACCGCAGTATGCAGCCAGCTGCACCATTTGCAGTCGGGGCCTGGTTTGCGGTTTGTTTCGTTCGGCGCGGCTGAAACCGGCAGCGTTTGCCGAAAGAAAGATGCATGCACTTTGTGTGTGGCCGTCTGACACGGTGGGTTTGGTCGGTCATCCTTGGCGTTGCGACCGCAAGGCGTTTTCTCTAGAAAGTATGCCCTTGGCAACAAACACATCTGTCGTTTGAAGTTTTGGCTATTGGTACAATTCTTACTGGCTGCCGTCATGATTGGCTTTGTATGCGGATGCGTGCACGTCAGTTGAGTCAGTTGAGGTACCGTGTGAATAAACGCGAGCTTTCGTTTTGCTCCTGCGTTGCGTTGCCTCCGTTGGCGTTTCCTGGTGCACTGTGGTGCGGCTCTGCTGAACTCGTCTGCGCGACAGAGTCGGTTTTTTGGAGGCCATACCGGTGAAGTGGCGAGGGAGTATATCTGCAGGAGCAATCGTGGTAAAACGCAGTGCCGAAGCAGTGCTTTGCGCCAAGCGACAAGTAGTAGTGATCACTAGGCATGCTCTGTATGAGGAGAGTTGTTTTGCTTGGGAGAGGAATAGTGCAGAGCGACGGCGCGACCAACACTATATGAATATGCACATGGGTCTCAAGCGAAAAAAACGCGAAGCTATTAGCTCATTGCGCATCTGTTGGGTGGCACAAGAAGGAAAGAGGAACGCGCAATGCAGGCCAGTGCTTCTGGCCTGTGAAGGTTTGCCAAGCTGGTTTGTGTCGGCGTCGGTACAAGTTTAGAGTGTGTAATTTATTTTCGTTTGAGTTCGGCATTTCACACCACTTCGTTTCGCAGCTGGCATCAAGGTTGAGTGCTTTGTTTGGGTGCCCTGGATAAAAATAGCCCCTTTTTCCTGAATGCGTAAGCGCTGTACGCAGTGACGAGCTAGGGAGCTTGCATGCATGCGCAGCATGCGATTATGCAGTCTGCCACCGCGCGCTAACGGCAGCAACGTCAAGAGCCCTTTTCTGGCATCCAGATCGTGGGTTGCGCTCTGCAGCAAGTACGACGCTAAAGACAAACACGCCTTTTGGGCACGATCGTAGCTGCAGCTATGGGTCACGCATTGTAACTGCTAGCACGATCGCGCACGCGCAGGCGTAAAGATTTACGGAGTTGCAGTGCAGCTAGATCCGGCAGTTCGTTTTGCGTCAGTCGTACTCATCATTTGCTTTTTTTGCGTCGGGCGCTAAGTGGTATTGGTGACCTTGCCGGCTATACAGGGTGGTGGGTATTCTGCAGCGAACACGATAGCAGCGGAGAGCATGCGGCTGTCGGCAAGATTAACACGAATTACGCAAATGACCATGGCGACTGCGAGAAAAAACGCAGAGCACGCAGCCCGCTGTGTAGCGAGTGGGTATTGCGAGAGAAAGCGAAACCTGTAGTGCATGCTGGTGTT